GATCTAAAATTACATTATCATCAACACTCTCATTACAGTTACAATTATAATTTGTAACGTGGTAAATTTTTATTCGACGCCCAATACTTGGGGTATTATAATATTCCAGGCTCGAATCCAACGTCGTGAATGTTATGTGTGAATGAATGAAAATTGTACTAATTTTTATGAATTTATTTTGTGTAAAATACATAACGCTGAACGAGTAACGAAGACAGAGCGAGTCACAGCAAGTAGAAAGCTGTGCATTGGAGCGACAAGGATGGAGCTACGACGTAAGCAAGCAAGTACCGAAGCGATTACTGAAGTGACGAGGCACCGAGCGGCGTAAACACCCGAAAGGTCTGAGGACAATCGAACGCTGCAGTGCCGCAATTTTCCAATACGACGATCAACATCGATGACAGTTGGTTAGTCAGTACTGCAGGATCAGAGGTGACTAAAAACTGTCGTGAAGGTCCGTTGACTGTTATACGGACCTAGATCAACTATCGACGGGGATCAATTCCAATGGAAATGAAGACTAGCGCCGCCAACTTCAATGAAGGAAGAAGTAGGTACTTCTCCATGAAGAAGACGATTCGAGGCTGGACTGTCAACGTACACGGACGCGCTTTTGCGCGCTCCGCAACCTAAAGTTAATTCCGATGTTATGTCGCGATTTTGCTTATTTGAACTTAATTTGTAACTTGTTGTAAAGTATTAATTTTCTAAATTTAATTATTTAACGAGTTGACCGCATGAAGCTTTTTCGAGCTGCTAAGATGAGGACGACGCTTAATTTCTTGGTAAGCCGACGTTCTTGTTCAGTGTTGAATCCAGCGTTTAGAGTCCACGTTGTAATTTTGTAAAATATTTTAATTAACAAAATAATACGCGAGGATTCAACGCTTTACGATTATTTTTTTGTAATGCTGTTATTACATAGTGTGATTGCCGATGTATGAATGTGAGTGTATGAATTGAAGTTGAGATAACGACGTTTATTAATTTTAATATAGTTAAAATTAATCGAAAATTTAAGTTACGACGTCTTGTTTTTTTTATAATTTTTGTTAAAAATTAATATCGACCGCTGACGTATATTTAGTTGAATAAATTGTTATTTTTTTTTAATTCTCCTGAATTTATTTCAAGTATTTTAAGAATTTCGTTTATTTAGCTATCCAATTTTTTTTAACGACGAGTATTTCAGCATGGCCCGCCGCCCTGAAGGAGAGGTAAGAGCTAGCCTAAGTCGAAGCAGTAATTAATTGGAGATCATTCTCCTGGCGCCCTTTTGTTAATAATAATTTTTTTAGTAAGCCAAATTTTAATATAAACGGTGAGCCTGGCTTGGTAAATCCCCGGGTCAGGCAAAATCCCCTTATAAATTATTGCTACTATTATTATTATTATTATCATCTTCATCATCAATATCATCGGCATCATCATTTGTATTATCTATATATCTAGCAGTGTTTGTCTTATTAATAATATCGGCACCTTTATTATGATCATCAGCATTATCACTATTATTATCAATACTATTATTAAGATCAAAATTATTATTATCATTATTATTATTATTATTTAAAGAGTTTATGGATTTCGGTTCAGTACAACACTTGTCTGAAGTTTTAATACTGTCATCACTATCGCTAGTTGAATCATCGACCCAGTGCTCGAAAGGTAAATGTCCAGTATCAGATTTTTCGTAGTTGGAACTTCGATGTACAGTGGCAATACCATTTTCGACAATTGAATCAATTTTTTGGAGCCACATTTGTTTATTGGAGTTAGATGCAGCTAACGATTCTTTTGTTTGCATTAATGAGGATAGTAATTCACCACCAGTTACGTTAGACCCTCTTGGGGGTGAAGCTAAAGAATAACTACAGAGAAGTTGAAACGGGGTGTTTTGTTTCCCTTGGTCGCCCCTTTTACTCTTAAGGGCGCCACTGGATTTTTGTTCTCAGTTTCCAGAAACTGGACCAGAACATGGAGTGTTAGGTCAGGGTCGCGAGAGATTTGCTGAAAGGAAACTAGGATTGAGACACAGAAATTCATTTAACAAAAATTATTTATTTATCCAATCCCTCTTACAACTGAAATATGGCCAGTATTACAATATATAAAATTTCATGGATACAAACCACACTCACACTCACTCACATACGGTATATTTCTCGCTGTCCAGCTAAACCCTCACGTGGTTGCAGTCCCCGATGCCTACTGGACTCTCACGATACTCTATCTACTTCGCGTCGTCCCCTGGACTTCTAACGCTACTCTAACTTAGTTCGCGCGGTCTCACGGACTCTCACGCCACTGAGCTGGACCTCTGACGTGACTGCACACGTTGTCCACACAGCGCACGCTGTCCCCCAAACTTCACGCTACTCTAAGAGAACTACCCGAAGTTGGATAGTTCCTTTACTCTCACACAAACACACTCAATGCCAAATCCTCAATAACAATAATAATAAGAGCGCTCGAATTACAAAATAACACAATTTCCAATATTGTTTTTCTAATTAACCATTTCTTAATAACTAATTATCATTTCTTCTAAATACTGATTTACTGCCGTGTTCTTAATATTACGACACTAAATATTTAAAACAAGAGTTCTTCGTATCTTGAATTAATCCTAATGGTTATGTCCGAGAATTTATTAAATAGATTTTAATCCTTATTTTAGCAAACTTAAATTAATTGAGCAAACCTAAATATTTTACATTCTTTAATTTAATCCAAGCTTAATTTATTCCAAAGCATTTTGTTTTATCCAGTAATCGGCTATACATTTTGTTAAATTTATTTTTCGACACAAAAGTTAAATTTAGTCATGAGATTATTCTATTGTAATTTATTTTGTGTTTTCTTAAAACTTAACATTTTACTTTACTCGAGTTTATTTCAATTCTAACCGACAGAGACTTTCGTTGCGACCTTGGATGACCTCTACTTAGCGTTTTCTCGCACGGACAAGATGGCCGACGCTCTCGCTCGGTCTAGCGTCTCTGTCGCAAGACACATGTAATTTTTTTTCTGATGAAATTTTGCAAATTTTTATATTCTCTACTTTCTTGACTAATTAATTTAGATTGACAATTCTATTGATTTAATAGCTATTTCCTGGATCTAGACTTATTTTAAATTACGCCAAATATTAAATAATGAGCCGAATAATTTGTTAAAATAATTTCACTGTCGAATTAATTCCTGTCTTAAATAATCTCAATTTAACGGTTTACTCAATTCCATTTCTACTGGCTTAAGCCAAATTCTTGTCTATCAATTCTCAATTAAATCAATTTTACACATGGCGAAAATCTAAAATTAATAACCCGACTTAATGCCTAGTATTATCAATCCAGACAGGCCTACGTGTAAAATACGTAGTAACAGAGACAAGTTACTTTTTTTTTAAACAAATTAATTAATAACTCTAGTACTATTAATTATTCGTCTTATAATTTTTCTAATATTAATATTAAACTTAATTAAATAACATAATGACTAGCGATTGTGACCGAACGCGAAATGGCGGTGACCTTCAGCCGACGTGTTGCCTGGCTGACGCCGCCGACCCGAGCAATATAATCAGACATGATAATTGTACTTGGAGTTTTTCGTTTTATTATCTTAACACTCGTGCACTCCCTCGACGAGCTGGAACTCCTTTTCCAGGCTGGTGTAAGTTTTTTCCTTGGAATAAATCCTCGGCAATTATCTCCTCGGGTTACTGCTTGGCGGCGAAAATCCGGTCACCGTCACTCGTGCTCTGGATATCTCTCTTGAACCTATAACCGCAAATCGGCGTTAGAATTTATTACAATTTAAAAATTAATTTACGCAAGCTGACAGGCGGCCTAGCAAGCAATAAATCAATTAATTTTTTATCGCTTCGTTCCACTTAAGGTGAGCGAAATAAAATAATTACCTGTGCTCAGTTCTTACTAAAAGTTGCGATGTGTCCAACGAGACTGTTCGGTCACAATGAGTCTTCTCGGTCTTGTCGTTGTAGTTATTTCTTCACTCTGCCTTCCCCACTCTCTCTCTCGGCGCCAGCGCTTCCCCTTCGGGGACTTACTTACTACTTCTAAACGAGCTTTAGATCATAGCGCACTGTAAGCAGTCGATAACTAACTAGGTACTGAAATTGGGAATTTACCGAGTAACGATCACTCCGTTACAAAGTCTGAACACGACCAAAAAGAATTGGGTCCGGGTGGTCATTATATCCACAAGCTGACCTCATGATACCATAGAATTTCTACAATGTAAAAAAAATATATAAAATAGCAATATTATAAAAATAATTTACATGGCAAATATATTAATTGAAAAGAAAGAAGATCATATTTAAATTGTTAATCTCACCTCAAAAGAATCTTGATTTAAACGTGATGTCATTAGATAATTATAATTACACTTATCATACAAGAACTTTGATAATTCTAGAGTGGTTCCTAACGTAATTTTAAAGCCAGTTAACGTACTAGTTGTGATAGGAAAATCAAATTCTTCTGCGAAATCATCAGTATTCTCCACGTTAGACTTTTTCTTGTTACGTTTCTTTTTAAGTTTCTCTTCATTAGCTTTCTTTTCCCAATCACGAAGATACTGGTCAAAATCAATAATGGCCTATAAAATAAATTAATAAAATAAAAAAGAATAATCGAGAATTTTTTTGTAGACATTGCACTTAAGAAGAGGAAGATATAAATTTTATCGTGTGTGTGAATTATAAATGCAGTAGTACTTGATATCTAAAAATGTGAATGGGATACCAAAACCTAGATATGAATTGTATTTTTACAGATGAACAAATGTTTATATGATACATAAGATAGAAGATATGACAATATGTATTATCATTAAGGGTATTGATTTTAACACATTAATTTTTATTATTACTTACACTTAATTTCTTGTAGTTTAGTGATTTTTAACTTTCCGTTGAGAAAATCGAAAATTTTCAAAAATCGGGAAGTTATTTTTATTTTGATCCAGCCTTAGTATACTGATGTCAAAATACTGGAATTATATAATTACTAAAAATTTATTAAGTATTAGTTTAAATACCTTTCTCATCGGACAATCAGCGTTTTTCCGTAAAGCATTTTCAGGTGTTCGAGAGCTCATTGCTTTTATTAAATTATCCACTTTCTCCATGAATGCAATAGTTGGTTCACAATCGTAGAGTTCATAATTATCATTTTTGTAAATCGACATTGCTACTCTTAACTGACGCGAAAATAACTGAAAACCATAAAATGAAAAGAATACAATTTTAAGACCGGTCAACTATTG